AACGGAACAAAAAGGGCGGAGGGGCGGGGGGCGGGGGGGAGGGGGGGGGGGGGGGGGGCAGAGCCAGGAAAGGGGAGGAGCTTTTTTTTTTTTTCTTCTTCCCATTTCTTTAAAAAACCCAACACGGTAAAACACACACGCACACGCAACCAACGTTTGTTCCCGAGTAGAAACATAAATAGGGCACAATCGACCACTCTTGTTCTTCTCTCTTCCAAAGGCAAAAAATAGAAAGTAAAAGAAAGGGGCGTGCAGGGCTGGAGACTGCGCAGCCCGGAACGCCGGGCGCGGCGGCGGCGCACAAAGGGCGCGGGCGCGGGCAGAGGTGGCGCGGGGCGGGGGTCGTGCGCTCGCCCCCTGGGCAGGGGGTCCAGCTTGTCGATCCAGGGTGCCCTCTCCAGTCCTGGGCACCCCTCGGAGGGGCGACCCCCGGGACTGTACCCCTCTCCGGTCCTGGGAGCTCTCGGGGCGCGGAGAATCCCTGGAGGCGCACCCTCTCCAGTCCCGGGTACCCCCGGGGGCGATCCCTGGTGCTGCACCCACTCCTAGTCCCGGCCCCCCCTCCGGAGAGGGGGCCGCGCATGCGCGCCTCGCCGGGCTCAGTACGCGGGCACCTGGTGCTGCGGCAGCAGCTGGCAGCCGCTGTTGACGTGGCTGAGCACTTTCTGTTTGAGCTGCGCCACCTGCTCGCGCAGCAGGCTCGCGGTGGACGCCAGCTCGGTGTTCTGGCTCTTGAGCGTCTTGACCTTCTCCTCCAGACGCGAGATGCGCTCGAGCTTGCGCTTGCGGCACTTGGAGGCGGCGATGCGGTTGCGCAGCCGCTTGCGCTCCGCCTTGATACGCTCCTGCGTGTCCATGTCGATGGGCGACAACGGTGGGCTCTCACCGAAGCTCGGCACCTCCGGCACCGTCTGCGGCTCGTCCTTGAGCGCGGCCAGGCGCGGCGGGCCCAGAGCGCCCGGGGGCGGCGGCGGCGGCGGCGGCGGCGGCGGCGGCAGCGGCGGCGGCAGCGGCGGCGGCAGCGGCGGCGGCAGCGGCGGCGGCGGCGGCGGCAGCGGCGGCGGCAGCGCCCGCGCCCAGCTGATTCTGCTTGTGCAGGTCCTCCAGGGCCTTGACGAAGCCCTCGGCGAACTCCTGCTCCTCGCTGGCTGCCACCTTGGGGTACAGGTACTGCGTGCTGGTCGGCGTGGTGGTGACCAGCCCGTTGGACTGGATAATCAGGCGCTCGAGCTCGGGCGACGCCAGCTTGAGCAGACCCAGGTCCGGCGACGCCAGCAGCCCGTCGGGGGGCGCCGCGCTGGGGGCGCCGTCCGCGCGCAGAGGGGCAGAGGGCGGCGCGGCCGCAGGCTTGAGCGCCGCCGCCACCTGCTCGCTGAGGCTCAGTGTCAGCGCGTCCTTCTTCATCATGCTGCCGGCCGCCGCCGTCGGGGGCGCCCCGGGGAACAGGCGGCCCGGGGACGCGAAGCTGCCGCCGCCGCTGCCACTGGCGCCTCCGCCCAGGCCGCTCAGCGCCTCATCGCCGTAGAAGGGTGTTTCCATCCTCCGCCTCCCCCGCCGCGCCGGCCCGGGGGGGAGTGGCCGCGGCCTCCCGGGGGGCCCGCGCCCCCCCGTCCGCTCGGCCCTGCGCCCGCCGCAGCCGCTGCCCGGCCTTCCGCTGGCGGCGGCTCCTACGCCGCGCCGCTCGGGCGCCCCCTTATAGCCTCGGCCCTGCGCGATGAGCTCACCGCCCCCGCTCGCCATTGGGTGCGGGTGACGTCGCTCATTTGCATGGGGAGGCGGGGCCAGGCTGCCGACGCCCGCGGCCCGCCGTTGCCCGGGCAACGCGCAGTACAAGGCACAACAGCGCGCTGGCTTGTGGGTTGACGTCATGGGGGCGGGCCGCGCGCGCGCGGCCCGGGTCACCCCGCCCCGGGAGCGCTGTGTACGACCGCTGCCCTCGGCGCCGCCTCCCGCCAAGGCACGTCCCGGGTGGCGTGATGCGCCCGGCCACCAGACGCCGGCCTGCTCGCACGGCCCCCGCCCTCCCGAGGCCCCGCCTCGCGGCCGCGCGTGAGGGCCCCGGCAGGGCAGAGGCGAGGTGGCTTCGGCCTCCAGGGATTGGGGGGGCCGGTCGGGGTGGATAAAGACTTCTGGCGCCCGCGCAATTGCGCGGCGGGGCTGGAGGCCTTGGGGTGATGGGTCGTGGGGTGCAGATCAGCCTCTTTCTCGTCTGGGGTGAGGGCTTTGTCCCCTAGAGAGGCGCAGGAGGGCAGCGTGGTCCTCTTCGGATCCTGATCACCTTCCCTAGGTGAAGTGCGATCCCCAGAGTTAACTTTGGCCTTTACAGACTGGGAAACTGAGGCCCCGCGGAGCGGAGTGAGCTGCCTGCCTGCCAGGACAGGGACAGGTGGTGGCCAGGCCTGAGGTCTTGTCCGCCCCCAGCTGTCCAGACCCGGGGGCCACAGCAGGCAGCCTGGACGGGCTGTGAGCCAGGTGACAGGATGGGCCTTGCTTCGCTCCCGCTGCTATTGAACATCTGGAGCTGATAAACGGCCCCAAGACGGCCCCACACCCTCGCGATGGAGCCCGCCCTTCAGCGAGGTGGCCGACTCGCCCCTTCCTTGGCTCCTTCTGGCCTCACAGTCTCTGCACCCCCCACTTCTACCTCAGAGCCTTTGCACATGCGGTGCCCCCAGGCCTGGCCAAAGAGTCACCGGGACACACACATGCCCTGCTTTATCCCCGCTGTAGTCGAGCAGTCATTCAGAAGGGTGGCCTGGGCCTCGGTGTCCACACCCGGGGCCTGCGTGCTTTCCAGACTCCTTGCTAGCCCCGTCGACTTTAGCCAGGCCTGTGCTAGGGCCCCTGTGTGGGCCAGGTATGGCGCCCAGCAACCTTGGCCTTGGCCCTGGCCGGAGGAGAAAGGTCTGGAAAATAGGCAGAGCAAGCCCAGGCTGGACCTGGGCCTTTCTCAAGGCAGGCAAAGCTGGCAACCTCCCTGGGCCTGTTTCCCCCCTCATGAAAATGGAGTGTGTAATCCTACCTACCACGCGGGAGGGTTTTATTTATAGGGAGAATTTGGTTTTTTGGACGTTTGGTGTTTTGAGACAGGGTTTCACTATGTAGTCCAGGCTAGACTCGAACTCGCAGAGATCCTCCTGCTTCTGCCTTCCTAGTGCTGGTATTACAGGCGTGTGCCACCTAGCTATAGTGAGAATTTGAAGAAATAGGGCTCAATACATGTTTCCTATAATTATTTTACTTTATTATTTGGTCCACACTGACCGGGAGTTCTTTGGTTCTGTGTTCTCTCAGCTTGGCGTGCCTTGACGAACTCCTGCTCATCCTTCAAACTCAGCCCCACTATTTCCTTCTCCAAGAACTCTTTCCCCTGGGACTTCCCTAGACACCCCCTTCACTTGGCCAAGCCCTGTCCTCATCTCCGTCAGGTTCTTTTCTGTTGTTTGTTTTTTGAGACAAAGTTTTGCTATGTAGTCCACGTCGCCCTGGAACTCATCACACAGCTCAGTCTGGGCTAAAACTGGGGCTCCTCCTGCCTCAGCCTCCTAGAGTGCTAAGATGATATGTGGGCGGGTGCCACCGTGCCAGCTAGCTTGTGTGGACGAGAGGGCCCCTCCTGGCCCCAGCATGGCCAGTTTCTTCTTTCTCCTGCCAGGGAGTACCCGAACACCCATTCCTGCCCCTCCATCTGTCCCAGCCCTGATCCCTCAATGCAGGGGCAGCTGGGTCCAGCTCTGGCCTCCCAGGCTGGGGGTTCCTGGGCGGCGTGGCAACTGGACCCCCCACCAGTCCCCTCAGAGGGGCTACCTGGCCCATCTGGCACAGGCGTGGCCTCAGGGGGCTGAGGGGGCCCCTGCAGAAGGAGAGGCTGAGCGAATCACCCCATGACAATGATGGGCCATTAGGGTCCCTGCAACAGAAACTGCAGTGAGCTGGGTCCTGTCACCACAGCATTCGGGAGGCTGAGGCTGGAAGATCTAGAGTTCGAGGCCAGCCTGGGCTGCATAGGGAGACCCAGTCTCAAACCGAAACATAGGCACTCGTGGCTCGGTCTGGCTTTCCGTCTTTATCTCAGTGCCCAGAAATCATCGACAGTCAGCTCTGCAAAACCGGGAGCCTGGGAGGCGGAGCGTGAGGCTGCCGAGGGGCCCCTCCTGGGGCAGCCACAGGACCCCCAGGCGGGCGCGTCCTGCCTCGCGCATTCCTGAGGATCGGGTTACGGCCGGCGCCGCCTCCTCCGCCCGCTTCCGCCTTGCCGGCTTCCCCCGCCGTCCCCACCCACGCAGGTGTTCCCGCGCCACGCAGGGGTCCCGAAGTCTGCCTGCTGGCTTGGCGCTGCCTCCTTCCTGCCTCGGTTTACAAATGAGGAAACTGAGGTGCAGCCAGGCCCGCACAGCGGTGGTAGAACCGGCTTGAACCTGGCAGATCCTGCTTTTTGACCCCAGTCCCCTTGTTTCTCTCCAATCCTCCAGCAGGCTGTGCTGGCCCAGCCTCCTCCAGCTCAGGAGAGCGGCGCAGTCAGGCCGGTGTTTGTTGACAGACTGACTGACCGTCCGGAGGGAGCCCCTAAAACAAGGCCTGAATGTTCCCTGGTGTGTGCCCAACCCGCTACAGCCCTCCTCATTGGCACATACTGGGGTCCCTGGAACTTTGGGGGGCGGTCAGCGGATGGTGAACTCCATTCACCGCAGCAATTTCAGAAGGTGCTTCGTTGCTTTTTGAGTTTTTGGCACCAATAATTACTCCTCTATTCAGCCATGCTCCGCTGAGCAGCTACTGTACGCCTGGTAGGGTTTTCGGCCCCCTCCTTCGCTGATGCTTAGTTGGCTCTCTTGGCACGGGCCTGTGAGGGCCTGTGATCCCAGCACTCGGGAGGCTCAGCAGGAAGGAGTTCAAGGACAGCCGGGCTACAGAGTGAGACCCTGTCTCAAGAAACACAAAAACAAAACAAAAAAGCTGTTGTTTAGGGGATGGTGCCTGTAATCCCAGCACTCTGGAAGGCTGAAGCAGGAGGATTGCGTGTTCAGACCTGACCTGGGCGATTTCTGGGCGTGTCGATGAGTGGAAAGGCCCTGGGGTCAGCCCCCAGGACCACAAAGTTAATAAAACCGCACTCTGGATGTCACTCTTGTCCCCGCAGACAACCCCCAGTCTGTCTTAGCTTCAATAGAAACAGAGCGAAAGGGAACCTTCGAGTCCTCAGCTTCTCTTGCCAGAAACAAGGAAATCGAAAACTGAAGATGTGAGATCCAGATCGAGGCCCAGCCCCGCCTCCTCGGGGACCCTTGGCCCAAGCCAGGGATGTGGGGACCCAGGGGACAGCAGCGCCCTGTCCCTGGGTCTAGCGCTGTGGGTGTCCCAGCCTTGCCTGCCCCGCGGTTCCGGCCTGCCGCAGCCACCTGCTGACCCATTTCCGGGGAGCCGCTCTGGGCGGCTTCAGGTTTGTGCCAGGAAATGGAAGTCCCCACCTCTGCCCAGAGGCCTCTGGGACCGTCCCCACCCCAGCCTGTGGGCCCCTGACAGCCTTCCCAGCTGCAGGAGCCGGTGAATAGTTGAGTGGTCACGCCTGTCATCCCAGCATCAGGAGACTGAGCCAGGAGGATCGCCCCAAGTCCGAGGCCAGCCTGTTACACAGGGAGTTCAAGGCCAGCCTGCACTACACAGCGAGACCCTGCGTCAATAAACAACCAAGGTGGAAGTTCATGGGCTGGTCAGTTCCTGTCCCTGTGAGGAACGGAGGCTGGGAGGAGGCGGGTTAGAGTCCAGGCCTCGCAGCCCCC